CAAGACCTCCCTCTCTTAGACGTTAGCTCATGTAGAGCCACTAAAATGTCATATGACCAAGGAACAACAGAATTCCAGGATTAGACAAATAGGCAAATTCTATAAAGATATAAATGTGAACATAGTATTATGCCAGAATTTTGAATAATAACTGCAGCAGCGTTAGCCTGAGGATTTTTCCTGGGCTCTCTGACCACTAAGAATTAATAATACATTGATTGAGACACGGCAAAATACCCAGGGAAGTTGAAGATTTTGTTTTGGTCTAGTGTCCTTGAAGCAACCAAAGCAACCAGCCTGAGCACAGGCTGCCATATGTCTCTAGAGTCTCAAAAATTGGGTTATGGGGTTAATGAGTAAGAATGATAACTCTGTTTATTAATGATGTCAAAACTTGAGGGAAAAAGATTGGAAATAATAACTCTGTTCTGTCATAGTTTATTAATGATGACTAAAAGATGAGCAAAAGGAAGCAAAACACATGTCCAAAACCAAAAATGATATGATCTATGTTTTGGAATATCATGAATGTATCCTTGCTAATTAAATTCTGTATAAATAAACACTCTGGGGGCTGGAGAGATGGCTCAGGGGTTCAGAGCACTGCCTGTTTTTCCAAAAGTCCTGAGTTCAATTTCCAGCAACCACATGGTGGCTCACAACCATCTGTAATGAGATCTGGTACCCTCTTCTGGCCTGTAAGCATACATGCAGGCAGAACACTGTATGTATAATAAATAAATCAGTCTTAAAAAAAAACACACTGGCTCCTAGTCAGTCAGGCTGCAAGATTCTCCTGACCACCATGGCCTGGCTCACTTCCTTCTCCCTCCGACTCCTTACATCCTCTGCAGGACCCATCCACCTCCGGGAATGGCTCCTGGCAGGGGCAGAATTCTAAATTTCCAGACTTTTTGTTTATTATAAAAAAGCAGGTGAGCAGGAATAGGGACGCTGTTTCTTCCGGGGGCGGGGGGGGGGGGACTGCTTCCAGCTGACTTGATGGGCGTTGGTTGACTCTTGGGGCAGGTAGGGAAAGGGGCTTCTGAGGTAGACAGGCGTCCTGGGATGGTGGGCTGTCGTCTGCTACCTCAGAGCCGTTCATCTCTCTTGGCTTGGCACTCTGGCTGTTTTTGTGTCTATCAGGATGCTGGTGAGACAGAGACAAGCTTAGAAGAAAGAATTGTTTTTATTTTTCCTTTGGGGGTTCCCAGGGTGATAGAGGGGGTCCCAAGACCAGAAAAGTTTGGGTTTGGCACTTACCTTGAAGTAGATCCAACCTGCTGGATGAGTTTAAGCTGGTTTCTGGAGCTTGGGGAAAATTTTGAACATATTAAGAAGCAGCCAGGAGAAAATTAGTCTTGGTCTGGTAACCATTGCAGTGTTTAGTACTCTGCTCGTTAATGTTAGTGAGGGGGGCGAGGAGATATTTAGACTATGTTTTTAATTTTTACCTGAGATAAGCTTTATCAGAGACAGATTATTTTAAGGCACCTGTTTCTTTTATCAGTTTAGGATTTAGGAGATACAGGTGGTCAATTGCTGAGAGCATTCAACAGTAATAGATGGTTATATTAAAGTCTGTTTTTGTTTGTTTTGTTTTGTTTGTTTGTTTTACAGAGCCCAGACCCTTTTTGGTCTGGGGATGTAAATACCTTTTAACTGTTATTGTTCCGTTACCACCTGGGTATATATTTGATGGTCCTTGGATTCTGGCTTTATGATGATCCTGTAACAATTAGCTGAATAGTTAATTGCTACGCCCACAGCTGTGACACCTGTGTAGCTATAGCAAAGCATGCCGCTGCGCTGGGGCCCAGCAGCTGAAGAGTTGAGGTTGGAGCTTCCTGGAGCGGGGCCTCAGGCAGTTCCCCCGCAATCAGCGGTCGTCATGCAGCCTGAGGATTCCAGGGCGACAGTCCTTGTTGGCACTAATTATGATGTTTCTCTGTATGTCTTATCTGTGATGTCTTATCTGTGATGTCTTATCTGTATGTCTTATCAGATGACTGCCCATCCAGTCCTGGCCAGCGCCAACGCGTCTGACCCAGATGACCTCGTACCCGGGGCGCCTCCATTTACTAAATCAGTGTATGAGGAAGCACAAAATGTAACCCCCAATATGTCCTTAGGAGCATTTCTTTTTAAGGTTGAACAGCGTGAGCTCTTATCAGAAACAGAGTCGGA